ATTTGGGCAAAGATGGCCGCTCCCAGACTCAGTGATCACAATGAAAATTAATTAACACTAAATTCATCAAATCATCAGGAACATATTAGTTGTATGACGGACTGTTCCTTTAATGAGCAGCAGCTAGAATTCGCTGAATTAACTCGTCCTAATAACAGCGTTTATACAGGAATGAATAACTCTAATTTAATGCTTTTAATGCTCTTAGAAATTATTTTAATTACCCGTCGACAGGCTGCAGCCATGTCCTGAATTCCTCGTTTTTCAACCACTTTGATGAAATTAGCTTCCCCCCCCCATTCTCTAACTTTTTCTCCGACTGAAGCTTCTTTTCTGAACATACAGCTTTCTGATCAACTGGAAGCAGTTCCGCACAAATATATCGTGATATAATATGTCTGACGAAATTGTTTTTAAATGCCACAATAAACACATTTAAGAATTTTAATGCCAATTAAGGCCTTAATTTAAAAAATAATGATTTAATGACTTTTAATGACCCGCAGAAACCCTGAATGAGCTCCTGCAGAGTATTGGGTCCCTGCTGCTGTAATAACAGCACAGCGGCGGTCTAGTCAAAGTCCGGCTGATTCAGAAGCTGAACTGGGAAAATGGTGCAGAGCAGATAAGAACAAGAATCCTGCAGAAAAATCGGATCACAAAGAAGGCGAGGAGAGCACTGTGTGACATTTACCCTTCATTCGAGCAGATAAATGAGATTATCTGCCAACGGAATGAGTATTTCTACTCTTAAAATAAGATAATTAGATAAAAATGCACTTGAAAGAAGTCAATGCAATCATATTTTCTTATTTTAAGTGTAAATAGTTTTGTTCAGTCGGTAAAATGTCTCTTTTACCTCATTAATCCAAGAACAAATGCATTTATTTAAGAAAAAACGAGATTTAGATTTTTTCCATTGAGCTGCTGCTGACGGTTACAGACCAATCGAATGCAGCGACCTGTGTGACATCACCGCGTCAATCAGAGGGATGGGGATATGTTTGCAGGTTGCTGCTGATTGGGAACGACCAGCTAACGATGCTAGCTGTGAAACAAACCGAGGTTATGATTCATCTGAGCTGCTACTGCGGCTCTGATTGGCTAACGGCTCCGGGAGGCAGGTATCCAATCAGCTGGAAGAACTGCAGTCGATGTCGCTGCCTTTAGCGAACGTTTTCTACTGCAGCGTTTCTATAGATTCAGACTGAACAGAAGGATCCAGATTAAGCCAGGTTAGGATTATGCTGCAGAGCTCTGATACTCAGAGATGTTTTCACCTCCTGATAAAAGTCTTTCATCCTGACCTCTAAAGGTCACCTGTCAGTCGCTCCAGCTGGATGAAGCAGGAAGTCGGAGGAGGAATATTCCCATCAGAAGAAGCGATGGCGGTGCAAACAGCTGAGATCAGAGCTGCAGGCTCAGCTGGGTTCTGGCTTCTTGTTATGAAGGTTCATGCTTCTAATCCCATTAATCAAGTCTCAACAACAATCCACTTCTGACAAAACTGAGGAGTCAAAGCGTCCGACTAGCAGAGGCTGTTCGAGCCGGAGGAGGAATTCCAGGAATTTCTTAAAGGGCAACTTTTCTCATCCCCCCCGCCCCCCGCCCATCGGGGTCCGATCCTACCGTGAGAGCACGCTGCCGGGCAGGCAGCCAATGGCAGCGGAGGTGAACCGACAACCATCACCGCACACCGAGCGACGATGAGGAGGACATCAGTCCACATAGATCATCTAGAATAGATCTGAAAGCAC